GCAGGTTTTCTCTTTTTTTTTTTTTTTTTTTTTTTTTTTTTTTTTTTTTTTTTTTTTTTTTTTTTTTTGGTCTTTTTGAGATAAGGTCTCTCTGTAGTCCCAGCTGATATAGACCAGGCTGGCCTAGAACTCACAGAGATCTGCCTGCCTCTGCCTCCCAAGGGCTGGGATTAAAGGCGTGTGCCACCACACCTGGCGCAGTCAGTGCTTTTAACTGCTGAGCTATTTCTCCAGTCCAGCTTTTGAAATCTTACTCTGCTAAGAGCCTGTGAGCTGGAGACACCACTGGCTGCTCCCAGCTCAGACACCCTGGTAGGACAGACTGTGGTACCTGTGCCTCTCCTCCTGTTGAAAGAAGTCTGGACATCCAAGGGGAGGAGGGTGAGCCTCAGGCAGATGTTGTTAAAAGAGCTTTATAGCCTTTTCCAGGGTCTCCTCAAGAGCCCAAGCACATGTTGGGAGCCTTGTGAGGTGGAGTGTCCAGCCTGGTTGTGACACAAGCCACAGTTTAGATGCTCAGCCTTGTGGGGTTGGATTTTCATTTTAGGATTCTGCTTCAAAGAACTATTATCACCCCCATTTTATAAGTGGGGAAGCTGACTCAGGGGGCTCAGTGGTTCATCTAACATCACAGAGCCTCTCAAGTTCAAATGAAGGTGAAACACTGCTCCACCTGCTTCCTGTGATCTACAGCTTATGCTATAGAGGACCCGGAGGCAGAGGTATGTGGCACTGGGCTTTCTGAGCCTGTTTCTCCATATGATAGACTGAGCTGCCTGTGTTGGAGTTGTGCCTTGTTGCAGGCTGTGATTGTGGAGCTGGTAAGAGCTGGAGACTGTGTGGAAGGACTCAACCTAGGCAAGCAAGGGGCTTGAGGGAATGTTCTTGCCTGGCTTCTTCAGGGAAAAACACCAGGTTCCCATTTGCCTTCCTCCTGTTCCAGTAGGACACAACTGGAGCATGTGTCTATAGCAGCATCTGATGCATTCTCTGACCTTCCTTGTCGCCTTTTATAAAATTACTATCACAGGGCATGGTGATGTATGCCTTTAGTCTCATCACTTGGGAAGTAGAGGCAGGAGGATCTTTGTGAGATCAAGGCCAGCCTGGTATACATAGTGAATTCCCAGACAGCTGGAGCTACTGGGAGACCCTGTCCCAAAAAGAAGGGAGATGGCTCAGCAGTTAAGAGCATTGGCTGCTCTTGCAGAGGACCCAGGTTCAGTTCCCAGCATTCACATAGCAGCTAACAGCAGCTTGTAATTCCAGTTCTAGGAAACCGGACGCCCTCTTCTGGTCTCTGTGGATATTGCACAACACAGGTGCACTTACATACTTGCAAGCAAAACACTTGTACACATAAAATTAAAATAAATAATTAAGAAAGAATGTTTAAGCCGGGCATGGTGGCGCATGCCTGTAGTCCCAGCACTTGGGAGGCAGAGGCAGGAGGATCTCTGTGAGTTCAAGGTCAGCCTGGTCTACATAGTGAGTTCCAGGACAGCTGGGGCTACAGGGAGACTCTGCTTCAAAAAAAAGACAAAAAAAAAGAATGTTTAAAAAAAATTACTACTACCAAGAGAAAAGTGCTATGGGTAGGATGGTTCTTACCAAGCACATGTGTTTAAGGACATCATAGTCCTCAGAATCAGAGAAGGCTACATACCCCTGTGCCTGGGCGAGCAGCTGCCACTCAGGCCCCTGAGGCCAGTCACCTAGGCTGTAAAGGGGAGGCCAGACAAGATGACTTGAGGCTTCATCCAACTTGCACATTCATGTTCCGGTCCCTACTGAACAGGACGATTCCAGTCAGACATAGCTGGAGGACCAGCAGCTGTGTCAGGAGTCAGGGAGCAAGGGGGTCACAGTGGGGAGGCAGCCAGGAAAGCCCAAGTTCAAGTTCATTTTTTTCTAGTCCTGGGGATCCAGTGAACCCAGGGTCTCATGCATACTAACCAAGCATTCTACTATTGAGTTCTATTTCCAAACTTTCTTGTTGGTTTTGTTCTTTTCAATTTTGAAGCAGAGTCTCACTAAATTGCTCAGGCTTGCCTTGAACTCATTCTGTAGCCCAGACAGGCCTTGAACTTAAAATCCTCCAGCCTCAGCCTCCCCAAACAGTCTTTTCATCTTTCTACAGTTGGGCCAGCATCAGCTTTAGAAGGTGCTTGGATGGAAGGGACACCAGGAGACTAAGTTTGGGTAAACACTTGTCACTAGGCTGGGCAGGACTCTGCCTGTTTGGAGGCAGTGCCTTAAAGGGGTGCCTCGTACAACTTTGGCAGGAAACTAAAAAGTATGAATACAATGTAGGCACCCAAGGATAGCTCTCCCTGGGCCAAATATAGTTAAACATTTGGGGCATATTTTCCATTAGATTATTTTTTTTCTCTTTGGATAAGAGAAGCTATTTATCTAAGTCCCCAAGCTGGGGACGAGGAGCTGTCTGTGATTCATGCTGGATGTTAGTGGACCTGGCATGTGTCCAGGCCTGTTTGACTGCCAGCAGCCCTCAGAGAGAAGTGTGTGACTACATTCATCCAGGGCTCGGGGTGCTGTTCTCAAAGTGACTGCTGTCAGGAAAGCAGAGAGCACCGCAGTTCTGCCTAGAGGGGTCCCCCAAGGAAAGGTGGGGACCTAGTATCCTCACACATGTGCCAGCAGCCCAAGGGAAGGTTGCAGCGAATAAAGAGACCAACTACCAATATGGCAGTGATGTTTTCTGCATTCCTGACCACATGCAGGCTTAAGTTTAAGGTCATAAGAACTGGGGAAAAAACAGACAAAACACTAATTTGTTAAATCCAAATAAGGTTGGTAATTTAGTTCATAGTACCAACCAACATCATTTTCCTGGTTTGGCAATTGTACTATGGTTATGTAAGGTGTTAACATTGGGGGAAGTGGGGTGAAGAGTATGTATGAACTCTGTTGTAATTTCTATTGAGTCTTAAATTATTTCTCTTTAAAATAAGTGTGGCAGCAAGGTGAAGTAGAATGGGGGTGGTAATAGCTCAGTCGGTAAAGTGCCTACCATATAAGCATGAGGACCTGAGTTTGTGTAAAGATTCAGGTGTGGTAGCACACATCTGTGATCCCAGAAATGAGGAGGTAGAGACAGGAGGATCTCCAGAACTCAATGACCAGTCAGCATTTCTGAATTGATGAGCTTCAGGTTCAATGAAAGACACTGTCTTAAAAAAATGTTCGGGGTGTGGTGGCATACGCCTTTAATCCCAGCACTCGGGAGGCAGAGGCAGGCGGATTTCTGTGAGTTTGAGGCCAGCTTCATCTGCATAGCAAATTCCAGACCAGCTGGAGCTATAGGGAGCCCCTGTCTCAAAAAAAAAAAAAAAAAAAAGTAGAGGCTTGGTGTGGTGGCATTTGCCTTTAATCCCAGCACTCAGGAGACAGGCAAATCTCTGTGAGTTTGAATACAATCTGGTCTACATAGTGAGTTCCAGGCCAGCCAGGGCAGCATAATGATAGTCTGTCTCAAAAAAATAAAGTGGAGGCTGACTGGAGAGATGGCTCAGTGGTTAAGAGCACTCGCCACTCTCCCAGAGAACCCAAGTTCCCAGCACTCACATCAGGCAGCTCACAGCTCCCTGTAACTCCAGCTCCAGGAGACTTGACACCCTCTTCTGGTCTCTGCAGGCACCAGCACACATGTGACATAGGCATGTGGCACAGACACATACACATAATTTGAAAAAAATAAATCTAAAAAATAAAAATAAAGTGGCAAAAGACTGGGGAAGACCACAGATGTCGATCTCTGGCCCCACATGCATGTATGCATACATATAAACATGTACACAATCATACACAATAACACACCTGCATTAATTAATTAATTAATTAATTAAAAGGGGGAATCACCTGAGAATTTGAACGTGTCCTATTAAGCTTGGAGTTCTTTCACAGTCCCCACCATCCTTTCTAGATATTTATTGTGGGCCTGTCCCCAAGCCCAGAGGCCTATCAAGTCCTTCCACAACCCTGGGAGGTGGGGCTACTGAATGCACTAACACTGGGACAGGCCCAGGAGAGTGAAAGTTTGAAAACTGTTAGCCCATGTTATCTCAGTCTTCCCGTTTTAAAAACAGGAAGCAGTCCCTGGGAGCTGAAGTGATGTGACTAAATCATGCAGCTAAAATGTAGCCGAAGTTGGCTTTCTGTGTGTGTCTGCTGTGAGCATATTGGCATATGCGCAGGTGTGTTTATGTAAGTGTGCATATCTATACTCTCACAGAGGCCAGAAGAGGACGTCAGGCAGCTTGCTCTGTCACTCTCTACTTCATTCCTTTGAAACAGGGTCTCTCACTAAACCCAGAGTTAGTCTGATAGCCAGCAAGCCCTAGCAATTTTCCTGTCTCAGCCTCCCACAATACTGGGGTTACAGGTGTGCATGTGGCCATACTTGGCATTTTATGTGGATGCTGGAGACTGGAACTGAGGTCTTTATGCTTGTACAGCAAGTGCTCCTACCTACTGGGCTTTCTCCCCAGCCCCATGAAGTTGGCCCTGATTCCTTACTGCCTTGTCCAATTAACGAGGATTATTTGTAAAACCTTGGAACTTCTAAGCGAGGTCTGATGGGCCCTCCCTCTACCATGTCCTACCATGTCCTAAGATTCTCTTTTCCTTTGTCTCCTCTCCCACTGGGTAGGAGAGTCATCTTTAGAGATTCCTTGTGGGGCTGGTACTGTGATGGGAGGGACAGAGGGAGGAAAAACTTGGAGTTCTGGGAGGAAGTTCCAAGCCTCTGCTGCTGAGCCCATGGGTCACACACTCCACCCTGCTGGCTCTAGAAAACGGCCTATCTCCTGGGACACGGTATGGTGTAACCTCTGGTGCTCCAAGCCCAGCAGATGAAGGGGACAGTGACTCTAGAACAACTCTAAGGGGCCACTCAAGGTGATACTGGGGTCCAGCACAGAGGGAAGCTGGAACATAGACCTAGTCCATCATTGACTGGCCTACCATGCCTGTGACCCAGCTGACCATTTATGTTGCAGAGGATACCTACAGTTCTGAGGAGACTGTGGACCACCAGCCTGTCCACCTGAGAGTCATGGATACTGCAGATCCGGTAACATTGCTCCCCATCCCCCAGAGAGAGTGGAGAATCAGTGCAGTCTTCCAAGTCCTGGCCTCAGGGAAATTGGGATCCTTTTTAAGCTCTAATTTGATCTGTGACCCTGGATGAAGTGCTAACCTTTCTGGGCATGAATCACTGATTTGCCAAACAGAAGAGGGATTGCTGGCATCAGCTCAGAAATCCTGTGCTATGGATTTTTTACCTATACAGAGGTACACACCTTTTTATGCAAATGCTCCTGGTGAGAGCCCATCAGTCCAAATCTCCCCAGTATATCTCCTCTCTACCCCATGCCATCGCTAGAGTCAGTTCTTAGAGGTCAAAGGGGCAACATGAACCTGATCCAAAACCAGCAGTGCCCAGGGACAACAGATCCTTGGAGGGCCATGCTGGAGTCTTTGACTCAGTGCCCAAGGGGGCCAAGGTCTCCAAGTCTCTGACTGGGTGGTGGGAGGGAGGTTCTTGAGACAATGTCTCTTTTCGCAAGAAGCCAAATTGACACTGAAGTACCCCTTTGAAAAGGGATCTGTGGGGGAACAATATACAAAGATTCAGAAGGTGGGAAGGGCAACCTAGGTGAGAGCCTGTTCCCCCAAGTCCCTCTACCCCTGAGTGGAGCTCCTCTCCTTTACCCCAGGACATCCCTAGGAACTGTGAGCGCTACCTGAACTGGGCCCATGCCTTCCTGGTCGTATACAGCATCGACAGTCGCCAGAGTTTCGAGGGCAGCAGCAGCTACCTGGAGCTGCTGGCCCTGCACGCCAAGGAGACGCAGCGTGACTACCCTGCCCTGCTGCTAGGCAACAAGCTAGACATGGCCCAGTACAGGTGAGTGTAGGCAGCTGAGGCCTCATCTTTGGAGCTCGCTTCTCTGTGTATAGAGACAGGGGGTCATCCCTGGGGGTTACAGCTGCCAACAGATTTTAGATAAAGAGACTGTTGCGAAGATGCAGTGGGTGCTTGTCTTCCAGGAAAAGAAGGACTTCGTGGCCATACAGGATGAGGGCTAGACCCCAAAGGGCAAAGAGTAGTCACTCCATCTTCGGGGGTCTCTGTGGTCTCTTACAACAGCCTTATCCTTCCTTGCCTGAGGCTACTTGACCCTGGTCCCTCTCCCAGCAGCTAGGGTCATTCAGTGCCCAACTCCAGTTTCAAGGAGAGGATCTGATTGGCTCTTTGGATCAGGTGTCTGTTTTGGTCCAACTAGCCCTTGCCTCGCCCAGGCATGGCACCCAAGGCTCACTGCCATAGTTGGCTGCTAAAAGCAGGCCTCTCTTTGAAAGGCTTGGACTTGCTGGGCGTGGTGGCACATGCCTTTAATCCCAGCACTTGGGAGGCAGAGGCAGGGGGATCTCTGTGAGTTCAAGGCCAGCCTGGTCTACATAGTGAGTTTCAGGAGAACGGGGGGCTACAGGGAGACCCTGTCTCAAAAAAAACAAAAAAAAAAAAGGATTAAATTATACAC